GTCCAGCAGATGGCTGCCATGTGAGCAGTTAACTTGTAGTAATCACCAGCTAGTTGAGACGAGTTGTCACTACTTGTTTTGTGAAGACATACAGCTTAATATTGATATGCTGGTGTCTGATGTGACTGGGCCATAACAACTAGAGCATTGCCAGCATGTGATGCAAACAGCTGCTGAGCACTGTTTCATATCATCCAAATATGAAGGCTGCTTACTTTCACCTTTGTCTTTGGCACCTCTGCTGCCTGTAAATTACTCAGTACCAGCTTGTGGACATTACCCAGACTGCCAAATATAAAAACATGCCGGCTGGACTCGTGCCTGAGCTATGTGACAGTATTTATGATAGAAAAGTAAAAAACTGTTGCTTTCCCCGAGCTGTAACCTTCCAGTTCTGTCCTGTTCACATTAACTAAAACAATATTTGTATTAGCTGTGGAATGTGAAAACACAGTTTGAACATTGTAGGCTTAACAGCAATGACTGGCTGTACACCTGCCCCCTGGTTACAGGCAGCGTTGAATAGGAACACCCTTGAATATGAGCTCACCGTTTCATCCTGTGCTGCTTTGACTATTCAAAATGCACCATGAGATTTGAATGAGGTACAAGTATTTTGTTTTGTGTGAATGTTTGAGATAGCAAGAGATAGAAAGAGTGAGAGGAAAATGTTTCACAAACTAACAAACACGTCAACAGATTTCAAAGGATGCAAATTTAACAAGCAGATCTGGAAATGGATTCAGATTGGATAAAACGCTAGTGACCACCATCCCTACTTAGGATTCACAGTGGTGAGTGGGAGTTGGCAGTGGGGCACGTGGGCGTGTTGACAGTGTATCTGCAAGGGTCAAAGAAGAAGAGATTCAGTGCAGTGACCTTGCACATCCGGGGGTTAGTCAGCTGAGCCACTGAAATGGGGACAAGCAGCTAGTGAGCTGTCAATTTTATTACTCATTAACAAACACATCTGGACAAACATGACTCTGACCCCAAAACTCCAGCATTTCAGTGTGAACCTCCATCTTAAAGGTGCCAGAAATCAAAGCAGCGATCACTGACAGCAGAAATTCAACATGGTCCTTCTGGAGAAATCAAATATTTACCAATATAAACATCAGCCTACTACTGATGTGGAGAACATTTATATAGTAGCAGTGTTTCCCTACCACCTCGGGTTAGAGGACCCCACAAATGGTTGTAAGAAAAGTCTGTGAGCACATTAACGAGGTCACGAAACAATGAAGACATATTTCTGCCGCACAAAATTATTTTTATTTTTTATATTCACCCTTTTTCTTGTGAATTACTGAGTATCTTAATTATTTTTTCTTTGCCAGAAAAAACAAATGTGGCCTTTTATTGTGTGTAAGAGACAAAGACACCTGTGTCACTTTTCCTTTGTCATTTTTCTGAAGCGTAAACGCAGATAATCCCACATTAGCGTCATAAAACCTCTTGATGACTTAGACCAACAAGTAAAACAGCACTGACAAATGCTGTTTGTTGCTGTTTTTATTTCACCAGAAGAGCTGAAAATATTTTTTATGATTTGATCATTCCAGTGGAAAGGTTATAGTAATCTGCTTGTCGTCCACCACGAGAACTCATTTCTGCTCTGTAGGAGTATTAGCATGCCTCTGAGAGAAAATATGGATCTGCTCCACACAGAGTAACAACCCCCACCTCGCCACTCGCTCGTTTCCGCTACTCAACACGCCCTGAGCTCTTGTGCTCACCCTCTTATTCTCTACCTTTATTTTTCTGTTTATTTTCCTCTCTCCTCTATCTGTACAGCATCTTTCTCTCATATATTCAGTGTTCTTTTTATTTTCATATCACTTTTTACAGTCACATACTATAACTCTCTCTGTGTCTGGCTCTGTTAACAGCTTTATATAAACACAGCAAATGACACAAACTCATTCATGAAAACGTTGCGGAACTCAGTCAAGGCTCAACCACTGGATTATGGGATTAGAGAGTGGGGCAGATTTTGAGGGTGTATACACATGCATCATGCACACTCTCTCATTCAAGTCTCTGTGTGTTGTTTTTCATATGTTGGTGTTTTCATTGTCCTACCTTGTAGATTTTATTTGTTCTCCTAATGCCCTATGCAGAAATCCCATAATGTCGAGGAATTTGAATGATTATTCGTCACATACAATTGTGACAATGTATATTACATTCTACTAATTTAGAGCTCATTTAAAGGAATAGATTGCAGGAAAGAATCAACGCACACAAGAGATTTTTTTAGATAGATAAGGTGTGATCATGAAATTTATACATTTTTTGATCTAATGCTTCTTACCTGTGTGTGTGGTTTCACTGCTGAAAGTATTTGAACAGTATGTGTAATGACCACATTGTTACTAGGAATTCTCTGAGAGAACCATCTGTTTTTAATAGGTTGTGCATAAATAGGCTAAATGGACAATTCAGTTAAAGGAATAGTTCAACATTTTGGAAAATATTCTTACTTGTTTTCTTGCTCATTGTTAGGTAAGAAGATTGCAAATGCTCTCATATTTAAATGTGTGTAACATACTTGGCCAATAAAGGTGATTATCCTTATCGATCATGAGGGGAAATCAGGTGGATTACTTTAATTTGCAGAGTGCCTGTAAATAAACAAATATAAAAAAAAAAAAAAAAAAGCTGGCAATGTTACAGAGAGAGGATGATGAGGCTGAAAGGTATTAGAGAGAAGAAAACTGAGTTAAAAAGGAAAAGGAAGAGTAATGTTTACCAATACTGTGTAAAGCTCAAATACAAAATATCCTCACTTTCTCTCTACCACCGTATTGATGGATGATGACATGTAGGCAAGGGATGTAAAGGGATGAATAGATGGAGAGGGAAGGGCAGAAAGCAGGAGGGATGACATAAGCACAGTCTCTCTTTCTGTCCAATCCCGTCACACACCCCTGCCTGCTGTCTCCACCCTCCCACACCTCTCCCTTGTTGCTACGGCAGCAGCACCACCCCGCCCTTGCAAGGCATTGTTTGGGGTTGATAGTAATGCGATGTGGTGTGTATGTGTGAGTTAATACGTGACTGTAGAGGCTGCAATCTAGAACAAGCAGCCGCTTCTTTTTTTCCTTACTCAATCTCCCAACCCTCAGTCCCCTTCCTCCTCTCCCTCTTTGTCATCTTTCATCTCTTAGTCCTCCTCTTCTTTCCTTAGTGTGCTTACCACTGTCTTGTCTTCCCTCTTCTGTCTCACCTTCTCTCACCTCTCTGTCTTAATATTCAAAGTCTTTTCATTCATGATTTATTTCCGCTGCGGTGCTTCACATTTACACACAGGCAGCAGACACCATTCACACATTCACACGCACACAGGTTAGTACGTACACATTATTGCTCTCTGTGTCCCAGTTTCGCAAATGCAGGTGCTTCCACACAAGGCATGAAGGGGTCAATGAATAGCTTGATGTGAGTGATCTGAGTCATACTGTGGCTTTATAGTCACAAGATCTCAACCCTGAACACCTGAGAGAATTTTAACTGACAGGTTAGAAAGTGCTCTTTATTCTATTCAAGTCTGCTGGTCATGATCTGCACTACTCAGCCTGTCGTATAAGGGAAGGTCAAATGAAAGGTGATATTGAGTTGCATTACGAGAAATGTAGGATCCAGCATTTTCAATTTTGACCTACACCAGGGGCTAAATGTCAGGATATCTAGGCATTTGCTGCATGAATTATATTGATATAATACAGTACAAACCTGAATCTGATCCACCCAATGTGGTCAGCAGCATTAAGCTAATTACTAATGTTATCTTATAGCCATGAACTGGCTGGTACCTTTTGTCTTTAGGCTTTTGCTTACTGTAGAGTCCAGATATAGTCATTTTTTAAAAACCATGTCAGACACAAACCATGAGGTATATACTATGAAGTTCCAATGAGTTCAAGCTGGTTGGAAACAAGCAACTTGTGAAACTGATCACCTACTGTGTCATTTCAGCACTGTTGTGAAATCATACTTGTGTTACATAGGTTCTTGGAATGGTTATTTAAAATAAATCAGATATAAAACATTTAAGAGTTGAGTGCATAGTGAACAAAAGCCTCACAAGTACAGATCCATATACTCATAGTGCCTACTCGCTCACACACAAACACATTTTCTGATATAAACCCATCCCTAATAAATTATCTGAGAATGATACAAAATTAAATAGCTCTGCCTGTTTTAATTGTCTGTTTGTCTGTTGCTTTCAGCTGCAGTGTCTGCCTGTTTCACAGCAGTCTGTTTGTGTCAGGGTGTCTGCGTTTTCCTCTGCTTATCTGCTGCTGTGCTGCTCTCTTCTCTCTCATAACCATGGAAATGAAATCAACATGCAAATACCTGAGCATGCTCAATAAGTCTGTGTGATAGAGGATGCAAATTATATTTCCCCTTGTAGAATTGCGCACCCACACGCAGATGCACACTCTGTTGTATACACACGCAGGTTTGTGTACGTGTGTGCACATACGTAAGCACACCCACCTGCAGTCCAGCACATTACCCCACAACTAGACTGAAATTAGCTAGAGGTGAAGAAGTACTTCACAAGTACTTAACACTATATAAAATGTATTCCTATAAAAGTAATTAACTTAAATATTTGGTAAAAAAATATATATTTCCATTAAAGGTTTTGGCATTTTATTGAAATGAGAAATAAAATATATCAAAACGGGAAAAAAATGATGACTTCAATACTCCATGAGTTGATTTTTGGCCACCAGGGGGCAAAAAAAAAAAAAAAAAACACAAAGCAAGCTGATAGGTATAATACTAATCTCGTTTGATTCGGTTTTTACTTTTCATACTTCTGTGTAAACCATTTGCAGGTCAATGTCTGGCCAAATAACACATGTACTTTAAGTCCAGTAGTCACTGTTCATGTGCTCTGTTTTTGTCCTTAACCACAACAAAAATCATTTTTCCAGCTATAGTGGTTAATGGGAGTTCATTTTAATGGAAATGGTAATGAGGGTGGTGAGACTGAATAGAGCACATTTGGCAGCACAACAAACAGAAACATTAAAAGCTCCCTATCGGTGCAGGGTCGTATTTTATTTCTTATTGTAGAAAGAGTAATCTGATTCCCTTTTACAATAAAAACATTTATTAATAAAGGTAAGGCCAAATATAACATTTTAATATCAGAATGTCAAATTTCAGATACTAGCAAGATGTCACAGACTAATTTCATTTGGGCTATGACTGTTTCCATTTGTGATTTCGGTTAAAATCAATCTAACCACGGAGTTTTACCATAATAAACTATTAAAGATAATTAAAATGCAGTCATCAACTGTACGAGGCTAATCGCCTCTCCGTTCATTGATGTCTGTCTCTTTTTTTTATGAATGGAAGAGAGGGGAAGGGAAACTGGAGGCTTTGTGATAGGCTGCTATCGGTTGACGTCACCTCCGCCATGACGCGATGCACCCATTCATAAAAAAGGGAAAAAACAAACATTCCTAAGGAGAAACAGAGTGAAAGGGAGAAAGAAAGAGTGGCGGTGGAACTGTGCGTAAAGAGTAGTGTGGCTACAATGCTCGGATAGAGGAGAAGCGGCCACCGTAGGATCCTGTGCGCCTTGTCCAGGTTTGGAGGGCGGTGGAGGCACCGAGAGCATCAGAGAGGGGTCATTAGCGACAGTGAAGCCTACACTCGCAGCCAGAATCAACGTGCGATGGAGGAGCTGTGCGAGATGGACTGTACGGTGTTGAAGAGACTCCTGAAGGACGACAGCGCCAAATGCCTGCTGTTGGACTGCCGTTCTTTCCTCGCCTTTAGCGCGGGGCACATCCGCGGGGCAGTTAACGCCCGCTGCAACACCATCGTGCGTCGAAGGGCCAAGGGCTCCGTGCTGAGCCTGGATCAGGTCTTGGCCGGGGATGAAGAGGTCCGGGGCCGGCTCCGTTCCGGAATGTACTCCGCTGTGGTGCTGTACGACGAGCGGACGCAGGACTCGGAGATGGTGAAAGAGGACAGCACCGTGACTCTGGTGCTCAACGCGCTGTGCAGAGACCTCTCCGGAACACGCATATACCTGCTCAAAGGTAAATGTCACATTTAGCCTTTATATGGGACAGCTGCTGCATGTAGGTTAATATACAATGGAACCAATATGGTCCTCACATTTTAGGATTCAGCCTGTGTAGGGCCACTGAAGCATTTCATTGTGATGTTACTGCTGTTTAATATTTGACAGTATGTTTAAAAATTACAATACAATTTACAGGTGCAGTAGGCTCCCTGACACAAATAATACCTCAAATTCTTTATTTCAGTATTTGTATCGGGAAGTACCAGCTCACAGTGACATTATTATTATTATTATTTTGTATGCTTGTTTCAATGGATATGCCACCGTCCTGTGTAGGCCATTACTTATTTTGTTTTTCAGCCCCCATAATCAGTATTATTCCATTGGCTCCATAAAGATACAAAATGTTGTTTCAGTAGCTGCTCATTAACCTATAAACCACAGACTGAAATATGTTGCTGACTGCGGCTGCTATATTTTTATGCAGTGGTGTAAAAAATTTTCTTTACACTTCACACACTCAGTCACAGCTGCACACATTCATAAAGAGACTAGTGGTTGTGAGCTGAGTGAATGAGGTAATGCCGGTGCCTAGGAGCCACATCAAATTGGGGACACTTGCAGTTACACACACTCATTTCCCAAAGAGTCCGCTGTGGGTATATCACCAATGGGGGACAGTAACATTTGAAATCCACCAGACTATATTTAGACTGCAGAAAATCTAAAAACCAAAGCTGCTGCAAGATGTGGTGCATTCTTTGTGTGTGTGTGTGTGTGTGTGTGTGTGTGCATTCTAATGATGCAGGCGCCTTGAAGCACAGGAGTCTACGTATGTAAGTAGGTTATAAAAATGACATTTATCAATTAATCTGATTTGATCTCTGAGGTGCAGATAGCAGTGGCCAGTCTGCAGATGAAATTAAAAAACAAAAGGCAGGCGATGATGAAATAGTTTTCAAATCCGTGGCAGTAAACACAGGACAGAGTAGGTCAGGGATTGGTTTAACAGACTTTATTTCAGACAATGTAGAGGGAGAAAATCCTAGTGCAGATTGTGCTGGGATGTTAATGTGGGCTGCCATACTTCTATTGTTCATAAATGTGCATTTGTGGTGTGTTTTTATGTATATAAATCCCAAACAAAAAAATCTCTAATGCTTCCAGAGGGTCTGCGTGTGGTGCTCAGTAGTGACTTTAATCTCATGTGATTTACTAGTTCTTTTCATTTGACCCATCATATTTGATCCAGACTTTTCTTTTTCTAGGTGGATATGACAGGTTTTTCACAGAGTACCCAGAGTTTTGTTTAAAGACCAAATCCTTACCATCCCTGACCAGCCAGTCCAGCATTGACTCGGCCTGCTCGTCGTGTGGGACACCACATCATGACCAGGTAAAACACAACAGGGCAGCAGTGAAAATCTACAAAAACTCAGAACTCGCCTACTGAAATGAATACTTGTACAAGCATAATGAACATCCGTCATTGTTTGACTAATGTGTGTCATGAGTTAGCAGTGTCTGAGTGAGAGCAGCCATCAAGAGTGTTTTCCTTCACACTCTAAATGTGAAAACTAATCTTAGACTAAAGTAATCTAGTTTATAATATGTAGCAGTAAAAGCAAGCACATTTTATGTTTCCTATTTATACTTACAAATAAATTGTTAAAACCAATAATTAAGAAAATTTTAATGTATTATCTCATCAGTTAGCTAATTGACAGTGGTGGGAAGCAACTAAGTACATTTACTTAGGTACAGCTTTGAGGGATCTTTACTTGAGTATTTTCATTTTGTGCTACTTCATACTTCAAGGTCACCACATTTTAGAGGCAAATATTGTACTTTTTAATCCATGACATTTATTTTATAGCTTAAGTTAGCAGTTTCTTTTCAGAACCAGATTAATACAAAAATTACAGCATAACCATAAACACTTCATTGATCTCCAGTGCAAAATTCACAAGCTACACAGCAATATTTCAAGTTATAAGCAGATTAAAACTACCCCCTTACACACACACACACACACATAACAGCTGCAACATTAAATGTGATATGCACAATAATACATCAATAATTAGAATCCAATAATATCACATTAATATAATATAAGATGTACCATTCTGCATAATGAGTACTTTTACTTTTAGTACTGTATGTTTTCATGCTAATACTTTGTACTTAAGTCACATTTTGAATGTAAGACATTTACTTTACAGAGCATGTTTACATTGCTGTATTGCTGCTTTTATTTAAGTAAAGGATCTAAGTAATTCTTCCACCAGTGCTAGTTGATTAATTAATGTAAAAGTCAACTTCAGCTGCACACACTGACACTGAAAGCTCAAGTGCAAACACCGGAGGTTATTTGCTGTGCTCAACTGTTGTTTCCCCACATACATTCAACCGCATTTCCTCAACTAGTCTGAGAATTTAAACAAGCAAATGTGAAACTTGTTTCTTCAGTCTCTAAACCATGTTAGAAAAACAAACTGATGGAAAGTGTTCCAGAGAAGCCGCACCTGTGTTTAAATTAGTAATTAGTCCTATGACAGTTCACCTGTGATTAATCCCTTCATCACTTCCTGTGACTTGGGCGGCCTTGTTTCTGTTGATGAGTGAGCTGCTGTTTGAGCCTGCAGATTTTATGCAATGCTCGCTGTCACATGTCATTTAAGTGTGATCCCCCTGAAACACACAAGCAGAGGACAATCCAGCCACTGTGTGTTTTCTAAGAAAAACGCTCGCTATCACGCCCACACCATCTGCATGATTTTCATACAATGAATACTGTGACTTCCTGTTGCAGCATAAAAGCTAGCAGAATATCTCTTTTGTTGTTTCCCTCTCATCTCCTCCACCCCTCCTCCTCCTCACATTACATCTCTTAGCGGTATTGATCGTTTCCTGATGCTGTGTCAGTCCCGAGGTGGTCAGCGGCAGTGACATAAACAGTCAATATGTCTCACTGCCGGTATAGACCGCCGGCGAATGATCCAGTGGAGAAGAAAAAAATACTTTCACTTTTAGGTTAGGATATGTTTTGAGTATGAGTGTAAAGATTGCGAGATTGCATTGGCAGAGCAGACTAGGATATTTTATAAATAATATTTCAGTGTTAATATTTCCCTTCTATCATTTGCTACAGTGAAACCCAGTCAAACAATTTATATTTATCTTTTTTTTTGTGAAAGGTTTACATTGATAGAGGTGTGGCATAGGCTTAGCTATTTAAATGCTATTCTTAACTTATATATATATGTATAGAGAGAGAGACACACACACACACACACACACAGCAATACTCATCAAAACTAGAGTTGGCAAACACACATTCACATTTTGTATGTTTCTTCAGGTCCCTTCTTTTTTCCTGAAAGTGTGTGTAACAAACCTTGTACTTGGTCAATGCTACATTAGTAATTTACCTGACTTATGCACTGTACATTTTTGTGGTATTGAGGAAATCTTGCTATGAAGCCGTACCAGTTTTTCCAGTGATTAAGTATGATCACAGAAAAATTACGATATTCCTGCATCAGAGCTTGAGAGAATGGCAAATGTAAATAACTGAGACTCTTCTGTTGTACTTACCGATGCTGATATTTCTATTGAATTACATGGGTGGAACATGTAAACACTGGCCAGTGGATCAGACACTCAGCTCATCCACTGAGTTAATTCCATATGAGGAAATAACTGCTTAACTGAAGGGTCGTATCAAATGACATTAATGACACAGATGTCTGATGATAAGTGTGGTTAATGTGATTAGCAAACTATTTAAGCAAGATCATGCTTTTACTGAAGTCATCTGGTTTCTGGCCTCTGGTGCACACAGACACAGTGAATTCTTTGTCTTATCAAGTAAGCTGCTTTTCATTTAAGTAAATTCTCTCCACCATGGCTCTTCAAGCTAACCAGGAAAGATGATTCTTTATTTAATGACTGAATGGATGAATTAATTATGAACAAACAGGAAAAAAAAAGTATTAATCATCAGCCTCCAATCTGTCCTTGGTCCAGGGAGGTCCGGTCGAGATCCTGCCATTCCTCTACCTTGGGAGTGCTCTCCACGCGTCAAAGAAGGAGCTTTTGGATGCAATAGGAATCTCCGCCCTGCTAAATGTCTCAGCTGACTGTCCCAACCATTTTGAAGGGGCGTACCAGTACAAGTGTATTCCTGTGGAAGACAACCATAAAGAAGACATCAGCTGCTGGTTCCTGGAGGCTAT